AAAGGTTATGTTGAATTTTGGTCAGATGAATATTTGTAAGTAAAAAATATATGCATTTCTGAACCTCAACTTACATAGATTTTCTTTATAAAAAAAAAAAAAAAGACAAAGAAAAAGTTGGCTATAGTTGGCCTGAATAACAGGCACTATACATGGTGCTGTGCAAAATAGTAAGCTAGCATCTTACTGCCGTCAATATTAGCAGGTACAGAGCCTTTTTTCAGCCTAATTCAATAAGTTCTCAGGCTTCCATGTCAGATGTACAGGGAAGAGTATAGTGAGGTGACAGATTCACCGTAGGTTCTTTGGACCATCAAAGGGAAATATAACTACTGATAGCGAAAGCCCAGCCAGGACTCTGGTAGGCTACCGTTGACAGGAACTGAGGACTGAGAACCTCCCAACTGTCCTAAATCCTGCCATTGGTGTAGCAATATCTGGCTGGATTTAGAACCAGTCATGGAACCTTATGCTCAAACTAAAAGTAGGTCATCACTTCCTGGAAACAGATCACCTTGTGCTTCCTGAAACAGCATATATCACTGTGAAACTAAAGAATGTTCTACAGATACATCTGTAGAAAGAAGCAAAGAACAGGATAGTTTAGAAAGCTGTCTTTCTCTTAGCCATACTCAGCAAAGTCCACACTAGTTGCTCAGGATTGTTAGTTGGTATGCTTCTGTAAAATGAGATTGAAATTTTAGTAAAAGATGCAGCTAAGCTCTTTTCCTGCATGAAACTAAAAGCATTCAAGTTGAGAGTGGGGAATGAAATCTCCCCAGGGTGACTGAAGATGGCTTCTTTTTACAGTGAGTGCTGTTAGCCCTTCTGCATCCCTTAGCTCTGGCACCAGCTCCGACTTCTGGGTCAGCTGCAAGGTGAACTCAACAGAGGTTGCTCTTGACTGTTTGGAGGTAGAACCAGCCTTCCTTTCTCTTTGCTAAAAGTAAGTCAAAGGCATAATGGCCAGAATGGCAGGTCTGTAGTCCAGAAACTTGTGGTGAGTGTGTGCCAGTGACGGGGCCCCATCCCCGCCCACCAGCCACCCTTGATGGGGTTGCTCATGTCACAGCCACCCCATCACCAACCTGCACCTTCCTTGGAAGATCAAATACGTTCGAATGCAAGTGAATGTTTTTAAAATGTATTTAATACAATTTTTCGTGTTCTCAACATGACCACCCAAGATTCAAACACAGAGATTTCCAAGTTGTTATTTTTTCAGAATATCACATATTTTAAAATCTGTCACAACAGGACTTGGGTTTTGTGCAGATATCAGACTGCTAATGTGAGAAAAACAATTTGAAGAAACCTAGTTTATTGGGAATAAAGCCTTATTTAGGCCCACTCGTTTGTAGTACTGCAAAAATATCCATGGTTGACGTTTGTAACACTATAGTGTTGGTATTAAAAAGTACCCAGTAAATACAAAGAAACCAATAATTAATTGCTGAGACAATCTTGAACCCAAGTAGCATTAGAAAGTTGAAGGCCCAATGAAATAACACTTTCTCACTTAAACTCTGTGGATAAATCTTGCCTGTGAGTATAAACAGATGGTCAAATAAAAAATGCTTTACTATAATTAACTTCTCTGATTTGAATGAAGGGAAATGTATTTATTAAAACAAAGCTGTTTGCTGCTTTATGCAGGTGCAGTGTTCAGACAGCAAGGAAGTGGGAAGAATGGGACATGGTCTTATGTCTACACCCAAGTTCTTAACTAAGCTTCTCGCTCTCTCTAATACTGCATTCTGTTTCTCCTTTTGTGCCCTGATTGTAACCCAAAATTTATGAACTAGAAAAGAATGTCCAATTTAATAAGTTGCATTTTTTTCCTTAAGCACTTTATTCAGAACAATACATGTTCTTCTGGTAGTGTTTGGATAATATGATTTTAACACATGCTAATAAAAGCCAAGAAAAATCATGGCAACTTCTAAAAAGGAGTCTGTTTTCCAAATGTCTAAAACATTAGGAAACATTAGAAGATAATGTGTACTGGCTTTTGAAAACTGTGATTCTTGGTGAATGAAGGGCTGGGAAATGGCTTTGCATTTCAGGGTGGGGGCTGGTGCCTTCAGGTAACTATGGCTCCTGAGGCATCTGCAGCAGTTTGGGGACCCCTCTCTTTTTGACCTCCTGAAGGCCAGCAGACCCTTTACAAGTGGCCACTCCCAGCCACCAAGACACCTCTTCCCCAATATTGTGTCCACCCCCTCCATCCTCTCCTTCCCGTAGGTATGCCACCATCCACCGCCACCACCTGCTGGACTCAGACCCAGGGTTTGGCAAATGGCCAGCTGCACAGTGCACAAACAGCTGCTGTCCCTCTGCAAGGACCCACAGGTGCTCTTCATTTACTGTGCACTGCCTTCTTTTCCCCATCTCTAAAATGTAGATAGTACCTCCTATCTTAGGACCTCGCTTGAAACAGAAAGCCAAGGACACCTGCCCCCATAGCATAGAGGGCTAGCAAGGGAGGGAATTCTAGTGGAGGGGATCTCAGGACACAAGGTGAGACCAGAAGAACGGGAGGAAGGCCGTGGAGGCTCCCCTTTTCCATAACTGCCACAGGGATAACTTGGAAGTGAGGCCTGAGAAAGGAAAGGAAAGGGGAATTCCCACCCCAGGTGCTGATGGAGGGCTGACAAAAAGAGGTCCCAACACCTTGACGCTTAGGATAGGGGCTGGTGCTGCCCCTATCCTGCCCCTTTGCACTACCCTGGTTACTGGACAGAGAGGCAGATGTTTATTTCCAGCATGAGAGAAGTTTTGGTCCAGGATCTGGCTTCAGGGAAAGCTAAAAGGGAGCTTCCCAAGGGTCATAGAGTAGACTACTGAGCCACCTTTCCTCCCTCCATCTCTGTACCCCCTGGCTCCTGGCTGTGGCTTTGTCAAGCAGTCAATTCTCTCGCTGTGTGGAGGGCAAGAGCAAGTCTTTAGAATAGAACCACTCTCTTTGATTTCATGGGGCTAAGCCTGCCCTCCTCCCTGTCAGGCACTCACACCCAGGAGCTGAGAGGCTTTAAAGCCAAATACAGCACCCATCCTGCAGCCCCTGGTTTGCTTCTGTTGTGGGAAACCAGGCCCAGGGTCTCTGCCAAAGCATTCCATCTCTGAGAGAGAGCTGACATTTGGGCCACTCTCAAGAACCCCCTACCTTCCCTGCATTCCTTACGCCGTGAACCTTCTGGACTCTTAGGGAAAAGATGCCCAGCATTGCTGAACCCACAGCATCCCTGAGCTACCAGTAATGAGAGAAAGGGGCATGACATCACCCCTCCCATTGTGGTCCTGTCGCCTAGCACCCCTCCTGCCCTCCACCTGACCTGCTCTGACCTTCCCGGCTGCTTCCTGGGAAGGGTTAAAGATCCATCACTGACAAACATATCTTCCTGACAGGCTCAGTTCCCCCACCTACTCCTCCCCTCTCTCCTGCTTTCAGAAGCCCTGGTGGCTCCATCTCTTACCACCAGTGATGGAAGATCCTTGGCTTCCTGGATTCTGGGGAGATCAGATAGCTGTCAGCTGGGTGCACCCCCTCCTCCAAGTAGCTCATTCAGAGCCACACAACTCCTGTGATGTGGCAGCTCAGACATAGGGCTCTAGTGCTTCTCCAAGTTGTTTGCCAGCTATGAGGTGGGCACAAAGCCCACTCACAAAGGGGAGAGCATAGCCCCGTGGTGGGCTGTGTCTGGGGGTCTGGAACAGTGGATCCAGCTTTCCTGACAAATCCTGTCATGAGGACTCTGTTGAGCACATTGTTTCTCGTGGGGGCCCAGTATAGATTTTGATGAGTGCTATGGACATTGTGTGTTTCCATACAGAGGTCACACAAGGTCATGGGAAACAGTAGCCTTAAACAGCAGGGCCCACCCAATGTCGCAGGCCTTGATTCCCACCTTTAAGCAGCCTAACTCATCCTTCTGTCCCCAGAACCAACACAGGGCCTAGCACACAGTGCCTTATGCCAGGCTGACAGGAAATGCAATGTACCCATGAAGAAGTCTTCTGGGAGCTGACTGCCCATTAAGAATGCTTCAAGTCATAGGAGTGAACTCTTCTGGAGAAAACCAGTGAATGACAAGGAGATGGCAGCATTTGCCTCACGGTGTAGGCCTTTTCCTCAGAAAGGAATGAGTAGGCCTGGGCTTGATGAATTTACAAATATACCGAAGAGTGAACTGGTAAGAAGTAGTGACACTATATGATAATATTCCCAGGGGGTCATAATAATTACTTTCTACTGAAGTCCTGTGCCCCTTAAGGGAAGAACCATGGAGGGATGGCTATGCCAGGCAATTTGGTGAAAACTGAAGGCAACCTGGCCCCACTAGGAGCTCTCAGATTTTAAAATTAAACTTTAGTCAGAATTAAAAACCAAAAAAATGGGGGAGGGAAGCATCAAGAAAATTAGATGAACCCTGGTCCCAAATGCAACTTGCATGCATTGCTTATGAACATGCCCTGATTCATGGAGAACCACAGATGGGCAAGTCTGGCAGCATTCAATGACTGTTACATTACTTGGGCAGGCGGCATGAGGAGGTACTCAGAGCTGATTTGTATCTGCCTCCACATCAGTGTGCCTGCAAGTGTCTTAGTCCATCTCGTTGCACTGTTTTCAAGTTCATTGTACTAAGTTAAGCAATAAAATTGTTCCATCCATACAGTAGATTTATTGTTGGGGAAACACTGTCCCATGTAATACAGTATCCTCTGAGATGACACCATATCTCACAGCAAAGTATAATAACTGATGTCCATTTATTTTGTAAAATCCCAGAGACAAAAGTGTGCGTTCTGTACACTATTTAAATAAGGCAGGAAAGTATATACTATTATTTTCATTGTCCATGAAAGGCAGCTAAACCAGAAAAGTATTGTTGCTTGAAATAATAGGTTCCAATTCTGGAGGTCCCTTTAGTGCAGCAGACCCACGTGCACTGCCATTTCACCCTGGTCACGTGCTCCAGAAAAGCAGCACAGCCATCTCAATCCACATCCTCGGGGATGCCAAGCGCCTCAGTGGGGCCCGCGGCTCCTTCAGCCTCACCGCCTGTGGATGACAGATGCTCTCTGTAGGATGCCCTGTCCCGGTCTTGCCCCCCCCATATCCACAAAGAAACAGGAAAAGGGAGGTCTAACGGCACCACTGCAGATGAAGTTAGGGGGCAGGGTGGGAGGGACAGCAAAGGGAAGCCTAAGGCATGTGTTAGAGACTAGGGATTAATTAGAATGAGTAGCATTCCTCGAGCACTAACGTGTCAGGCACCAGGCCAAGAGCTTTACGTCCTATCTCTTTTCGTCTTCACAACAGCTCTATGAGAAAGATTACTATTCTGAACTTTTTAGTTTAGGGTTATAATGGGTCTATCATTATCTCCAATTTTACAGATGAGGAAACTGAGGCCCAGAAAAGGTCAGAAATTTTCCGGAGGCTATTCAGCTGAGGAGTAGTGGAGCCAGGATTCAAACCCAGGATTGCTGTCTCCAGAGCCCTTGACTCCTCCCCCAGTGCCTTTTTCTTAGCAGGAAAAGCACTGGGTACGTTGAAAGCACCCCCCAAACTGAGATGGTATGACACATCACAACAAATGGGCAGAACATCAGCACCCCAACAAGGCTGCTTTAAACTAGCGTCCTTAGGAGGCTGTGAGTGTATTCCCAGGATGTGGCCTGGGCTCAGACCCGTCTGGAATTGTCCCCTTTGCTCCTTATCACCTCAGGCCAAAAAGTCAGGCTCACAATCTCCCCCACAGTCCCAATTAAGTATTTCCCAACAGAGTCACCTGCTTTAGACTTGACCCTGAGTTACACCTATTTACTTCTAATCACCCCAAAAGGATGAAGATATTTCATGAAACCTGGACACAACAAAATGCATCATGGGCTCTCTCTGAGGGCAGGTCCCAGAGGAAAGCTGGCTCTACAGGGCTCACCTTCCAGAGTGAGAGGATGTGTAAACAGGTCTCTACATGGAGCCACACTGCCCAGGATTTCCTGACTCCCTAAACTCCGTGGCACCATCAGCTTGTTCCTCAGCTGGCAGTAGCAAGGATTAAGCGAGAGACGGCACAGGTCAGCTCCTGCCCCACCTTACCTTGCCCTCTGTCCACCTGTTCTGACTTGGCTGGATTTCGGATCTTGAGACCATGAGCATATCAAACATTTAGGCAATACATTGATCAAAACCCAAACATTTAGACACACATAGGTTATTACCATTTCAGAGCTTCATGTGGCCTTCTCCCAAGAATCCAACTCTCACATCCTTTGGTTTTTCCCAGGATATTCATCCCCAACCCCTTCTACCTCACCTCAGGCTCAGACCAGAGATATGGAACCCAGTGACAGGAACAGCACAGGCCAGGCCCAGTTCTCCCACTGGATGTGAAATGGGCTGAGTCACATGGGCTCTGGACCCCTTGGAGTTCTCACCTGGATTGGGAGGTGGCGATGATCCAGCACTCCTTTCCCAGAGACTGCTCCCGTGAAGGGGAAGGTCCTAAACTATCATCTCACATTCAAATGTGGGGCTGAGGGATTTGAGGGTCACAGCAGGCTCCAGGCAGAGGGCCGCTCTGTGCAGCCCCTGCTTCTCAGCAAGCCCTCTAGGGGCTTGGCATAGGGCCTGTGGAGCACAGAGCATGTGAGGGAGCCACGTCTGGCCTCTGACTGGCTTTGAAGTAGGCTTCCGGAAAGTTAATTAAATTTTCTCAGTGGTTTCCATGGGGAAATGCAAAGTTCTTTTGCAATGAATATATGACTCCAAAATCAGAAGCAGCAAAAGATTTAATGAAGTGTTAAAAAGCAACACTGTTATTCTGTGAAAACACAAAACAGTTTAGTATTGATACTCAAGTTATATAATGACCCGTATTTTCAGAAAAGGACTTTATTAGATGGAATACTTATTTGCCAAACAATTATTACCAGTCCTCCCACACACTCAAACACATAGTCACAAATTCCTTTTCACCTCAGGTTTAATAAACACCAAATCTGCCTTGATGACTTACCGTGAGGGCTTCTATGTCTTTGTCTGAAAACTTCGAATTGGGGAAGAGCAATGCCAGTTCTCTGTGGGCGGCTTCTCTGTCCCGGCTTTCATGGACAGCATTAAAGGGCATTTCTGTGCCGTACTGAGCATGGAGACTGGGAACACTGGCAAAATGTAAAAGAAACGATTGTTTCATTTGAAAAGAAATGTTTTGCTTTCTGGCAACATGATCACCAACTACCAATCAGCACTCTGCATTCCTGTGAAATTGCTTTCTCTTTGCAGGAAATACCAAGAACAGCAGCAATGATAATAGTAGCTGACATTTGTTATGTTATTAAGTGTGGAATGTCTGATTTCCTTAAGTACTAAGTTTGACAGTTAAGATCTCTGACATTTCACTTTGACACTTCTTTTGTTTTTTAATTGTGAAGGTACATCCCCATTCTTTTAAATACACATTTTGGCTTGCAATTATCTTTCAAATTTTTTTTAGAGCAATTTTTGTGAAAACTTGGATAAGTCAAAAATTTGTGTTATTTTTGAATATGAGTTCTGTCATGGAACCAATGCAGCACAGACAGCTCCATGACGGAGGTGTTTGGGAAGGACGTGGCTAATGAACACATAGTACTTCGATGGTTTGAGAAGTTCCATTCTGGTGATATTAATCTTGAAGACGAGCCACATGGGCAACCTGAGACCAAGATGGATAATGATGAGCTCAAACCTGTGATGGAAGCTAATCTATCTCAACCTACGCGTGAATTAGCAGCAAGGTTTGACGTTACTATTCCAACAGTATTGGACCATTTGAAACAAATCAGCAAGGTCAAGAAACTGGATAGATGGGTTCCGCATGAATTAAATGAGCATCAGCAGAGAAATCATCTTGAAGTTCGCCTTTCTTTGCTGTCACAACATACAGGCGAACCATTTCTACGCTGTATTGTTATATGCGATGAAAAATGGATTCTTTTTGACAATCGCAAGCATTCGGCACAACGGTTGGATAAAGATAAAGTGCCAAAACACAGTCCAAAACTGAATATTGATTAAAAAAAGCTAATGGTGTCTCTTTGGTGGTCCGGCGCTGGTATTATCCATTACAGCTTCGTGAAACCTGGTTAATCGATTACAGTGGATGCCTACTGCAGCCAACTGGACAGAATGATGAGGATGCTTGTGATTAAGCAACCGATATTGGCCAATAGACACTGGCCAATCCTCTTGCAAGACCACATGTTGCAAAAAACATTGCTGCTCAAACTACAGAAGCTGGACTTGGAAACTCTCTGTCATCCACTGTATTCACTGTGTGCAGGCTGTGAGGCTCCAGGCCCTTCTCCAGCAGCAGAACACGGGTGGCCACGCAGCCAGCTCTGGCCACACTGAGCCTGTCTGGGAAAGCGGGCGGGCACAGTAAGTTACCTTAAAGGGACGTGGCCTGAAGCCTCCATGTTGTTTCTGTTTTCATTAGTTTTTATGTATGAGTTTTTGAAAGCCAAATAAATTCTAATTAACATTTTTAACCTCCCCCCCCACACTCTGAACAGTGGTATAGACAGGAAGCTGTTTGTGTGGGTCCTTTAACCAAAGGATTTTCATTTTTCTTTTCAAAAAAGAAAAAACTTCATGAAGTTACACACAATTAATTTAGAATCTGAGATAATTCTGTCCTGGATCCCGGGAATAAAAAGTACAAAAAAATGTAATCTTTGCTTCTGGGAGCTTATATCTAGTAAAAGTACACAAATGATCTGGTTTTGAGTGCGGTACTGTCAGACTTTTGACTGGTTCAAGTAGTTCAACCTTTTTCTAGGGTTGCTAGATTTAGCAACAAAAATACAGGACACCCGCTTAAACTTGAATATCTGTTAAACAATGACTATTTGGTAACACTACCTTTTCCAACTAATGGAGAATGGGGGTGGGGGATGGGTTACTATATAACCATGAGGTTGATAGTCCCCCAGCATCCTCAAAGCACCTCCATTTTCCAAGTGGAAATACAGAGACACTGGTGGACAGGGAAGACTCAATCATGCCTTCGGTAACATAAGAAATAGCAACGATACCAAATGCCAGAAAAGCAGAGACCTGAATCTTTTATATTCATTGCTGCTAAGAATGTAAAATGGTACTCTGGGAAATAGTTTGGCAGTTTCTTAAGAAATTAAATGTGTACTTGCCATATGACTCATAAATTGGACTACTGGGCATTTACCCCAGAGAAATGAAAATTTTGTTCACACAAAATCCTGTACACAAATGTTCCAAGCAGCTTTACTGACAATAGCCAAGAAATGGAAATGACCCAAATGTCCTTCAGTAGGTAAGTCGTTGAACTGTGGTACATCCATACCCTGGAACACTACTCAGCAATAAAAAGGAATGGACTACTGACATACAGTACAACTTGGACAGATCTCAAGGACATTGTGAGGAGTGGGGAAAAAAGCCAATCTCAGAAGTTTATGTGCTGTGTGATTGCATTTGTATGACATTCTTGCAAATGCCAGAGTTGGAGAACAGATTTCTGGTTGCCAGGGGTTATGGATGGGAGGGAGTAAAAGGGGTGAGTGTGATTATATGGGGTGCAAGAGATCTTCATGGTGATGGAATGGTATATCTTGATTGCCATGGTGGTTGATACTCAGGTTGATATGTACACATGTGATAAAAAGACTATGAAATTACACATGTTGTACCAACATCAAGTTCCTGGTTTTTGTATTATACTGCAATTAAGAAAGATGTAACTACTGGGCGAAAGTGGATGAAGGCTACGCAAGACCTCCCTGTACTATCTTTGCAACTTCTGTGAATTTATAATTATTTCAAAATAGAAAGTTTTTAAAAATATATATTGGAAGGGCTGGAGGAGTCTGCTCCAGGCTGAGCCTCAAGGAACAATTCTGAGAATACCATGACCTTGGAGGCTGCCACTGGGGTTGTGAGTTCAAGAACCACAAATGGAGCAGGGATCAGGATGTTGTTGTCACTGTTGTGGCTGCCTCCACTGTCACAGCCACCTCTCAACCATCACAAAGCTGGCGACTGGGCATTGGAGTCAGTGTCCAGCCACCGTGTCTGCCACAGCAGCCATTCAGGACCCAGGAAGCTAGGAAGTGGATACTGGAGCCTGCTACAGAATACCTCTCATCTCCACCTCTTTGCCTGTGCACTGGAAATACAATAGCTAAAAGGTGCAGGAGGACGGCCTCCACCACTTCCTTCCAGCCCTTCCAGGAGTGCATCCAAACAGTAGAATCCAGTCTGCACCCAGAGCCCAACTGCAAGGGAGTCTGGGTAACAGAATGTGTGGCCTTTCAGTCTGCAGTGCAGGACAGAAAGCTCCCTAGCAGGGCGGGGCAGAGGTTGGGTAGCCCAATCCCTGACATCCACCGTGGTCACCCACCAGCACTAGATTTATCTTCATGTGGGGGACAAAACTTCCATGTGGGCAGGGCAGAGAAAGGAGGCATCCATTCATTCTCCATGTGAAAATCCAAGATGCCCAGGTCCTATCCCACCGTAGCGTGTGAGTGCATGTGTCCTAAATAAGGGCAGCAGTCATGAGAACCAGGCAATCAGACGTCCAAGAAGCAGTGCACCCTTAGAATTCCCTTTACCCATGGCCTCCCCGGACATGCTCCCGTACCCAAGGTGATGCCCAGTGCACCATCACCTGGGCACATGGACGCAGGGAGATGAGGCCCTGTTTCCTGGTGTTATGCAGCAGCTGTGGTAGTAGTGATTCTTGCGGCAACTGTTGCTGGGAAGACATACACACAAGAAACTAAAAGTCCATGTCCTCATGTCCATCAGCTCTAAGTGACTTTATTTATTTCGACACCTACATCTTCCACCTTAAGGTGCTCTTGGCCTGCTTCCCCTTGTGCACCAGAGGCCCTCCGGAGCTCATCCTACCTCAGCCTGCCCTGGGTGGGGGGTGGAGACATGCCTGTAGGGGACTTCTCTCCACCTTCTACTCTCTCCAGCACCCCCCTCAAAAAGCTAGATGTTCCCCAGGAATCTTTACTAGGAGCTGAGTCCTGCAGTGGAATTTTAGACACCAACAGTAGGTCAGTGGGGCCCAGTGAGGCCCAGCAGTTCTCAGGCCACACCTCACGGGTGGCTACCTTCTCCAACCACAAGCAATCCTGGTTCTTTCCTGGAGGCCAAGCTCCTTGATCCCCAGCACCCACTGCCTCCGGGGTTCCCTGGGCCTCACTTCCACCCTCTCCCTGCTAGGCTCTACCTCCTCCACCCTGTGACTTCCCAGGGCGGACAGTCCTATAGCCCAGCGCTCTCCCCACCCCACCACCTTCCAAGTCCACTGGCCCATGACCCCCAGTGCTGTTTTCCTGAAAACACTGGGCTCTGCCCCTGCTGCTGTGTGAGATGTATGGAGACCGAGTTTCTACCTAGAGACATCTTCCTCTCTGGTTAAGTTGCCTTGGAGACTCAGTGACTCTTCCCCGGTTGGTTAAACAAAACCACCCCACCTGCCCTCCCCAGAGGTGGCCTCAGTTCTCAGCCTCCCCCAGATCCTCTAGCCCCCACACTCAAATGCCCCATCCCAGATCCCCAAATGAGCATCCCCTGAGCAACACTAACCAGAGCCCTAGACAGACCAGAAGAGGCCTCAGAGCACCTTGGCTGGTCCAGGGTGGGGAGGAGGGACAGTGCCATGTGCAGGGGAGGAAAGGGACAGAGGAGGAACTCCACAGTCCCCTAGAATGATCCTGAGGCCTCTACCCCATTAAAGAGGCCCTGGGGCAAAGTAGGTGACTGCGAGGGGAGGAAAGACCAATGTCCTGGCCAGGCAGACTGCAGAGCCAAAACTTCTGCCTGAGGCAACAAGAAAATGGTGGTCCAGGGGTGGGGATGGAGGAAGTGTCTTACCTGAGCTGGCCAGCAAGCCTCAGAGGGGGACCGGTGCTCAGCATCAAGAGCCTAGGCCAAGGGGAAAGTATCTAGATATATTCTTGGAGGTCTCACCTCCTGCATTTCCCAGTAGGCAGAGATCTTCCATTGAACAATTGTGAATGGCACAGTCTCTTTGATCTAGTGAGAAGTAGTGTGAGCATTCTCTTTTGTCTAGGAGAATAACAAGTTTATTCAGAAGGGAATCCCCATGAAATCTTGTATCACTGCT